AAATAACCATGAAACAATTGTTTTATTACCAAATAAATATTAGTATCAATGCTGCATGCAATGTTTCCATTGCTTCAACACTGAGTCGCGGTCACCGAAACGCTTGAACGGGGCTCTCGAGGGGGGATTTCTGCGCATCGAATTCGCGCCGGGTAACAGTTCGCTCTGACCGGGAAAACAGTTTTGACTGTTTCACCCCTACATCCGAAATTGGACAAAAGGCCAGAAACAGTCAAAAATGACTAATTATAATTTATATAGACTATTGGGTAATAATTTTGACTGTTCCCCAAATAACCATGAAACAATTGTTTTATTACCAAATAAAAATTAGTATCAATGCTGCATGCAATGTTGCCTTCGAGGTATGTCGCCAATCAACTGCTATTGGTTATTAAGGGTGCTCCGGCCATGTGCTATAGTGAAAAAAACAAATGTTTTCCGAATCATCGAGTTTCCACTACTATACGGCACATTGCACAAAGGTTTCTCGTTGTGTTGACATAATTGCTTCAACACTGAGTCGCGGTCACCGAAACGCTTGAACGGGGCTCTCGAGGGGGATTTCTGCGCATCGAATTCGCGCTGGGTAACAGTTCGCTCTGACCGGGAAAACAGTTTTGACTGTTTCACCCCTACAGCCGAAATTGGACAAAAGGCCAGAAACAGTCAAAAATAACTAATTATAATTGATATAGACTATTGGGTAATAATTTAAACTGTTTCAATAATGGTAATAATTGTCATTGTTCCATACTAGATTACCGAACTACTTCCACATTTCTACATTTTGAGGGAAAGTAATGGACCCACAGTAGATTGTATGCACTGATACAAGTAAAATGGAATGCCTTAACTGCTAAGTTAAGTCTGGTGCTTCCATTTAGAAAAACATGTAATTCCAATTGAGAATGTTAAGCATCGAGCACCAAACAGGTACCAGGATTTCACCATCTTTTACGGAACGTTTGCAAAACTACAGCTAATCCATATAACTTATCATTAGCGTATAAAAGGTGGTGACGTAGTGATATTTAAGAGATATATCAAATCACTTCTGAAAAATCTGACACAGAGGTCGCTGACTCATTTACTATTAACAAAGGTTCAAACACACGAGGCCTGACATTTGAAGTATGTAAACCGTCTATGACATTGAATAGTAGATTATATTCGTTCACACAGAGATGTGGAACAACTACTAAAGTAGTGACGCAATGACAGTTTAACAGTTTGAGTAAGAAATAGATCAACACTGGAAAAATCAACCACAAAATTAATTGTATTGTGTTAAAAATGAAGCTATGAACGATACAATGTTAATTAGGCATCCTTATATAAGAGCCGACTATCAAAGGATTGTTCACCAGATAAAAACGAATGTCTAGCCTGTACATGTTTAATGCATGTATGTGTTTATCGTCAAGCGGATTGGAGCAGATTTTTTTTTTTATTTCGTATCTCCTGGTACTGAACTTTTAACGTCGAGTTGAGCGAGGCTATATTTCTCAGAATTTGTAAAACTTATAGATATATTTTAATACAGTGCTTTATTATGTCGGTGATAAAAAAAAAGTGTAGTGAAGTTTACAAAATGGATGTTTTTAAAATCTTTTTTGTCTCAACAGCAGTGGACACCGTGCTGTTTTGTTGGTGACCAGTCATCACGGTCAAGTGCTGTACCGGGGGATACCACTGGACTACATAGATCGTACAGGTAAAATAATTGTAATGTAATATACATATACACGTGTGAAATATAAAATGCGTATTTATTGTATCGTATTATTTTTACAATCGTATTGCAGTGGAACTGTATAACCCTACCAAATTCAGTTGGTATTCATATAGGCTATACACACCATGGACCGATTGTTGACGACATCATTGTTATGACGTAATAATTGTTACGTTGGCTACCACTGCCCTTCCCAGGCGATGCTTGTTCTATTCATTGCTTAAATGTAAATGATACAATGTACAAAACAACATGTAAGTATCATATATATATACATATAAATAAACATCAATCCGTCTGAAGAAGCCCTAGAAGGCAGAAAGGCCTAGCGGACGATCTGAAAAATTTGTTTTTATTCTATATATATATATATATATAAAGAATAAAAACATCAATCTGTCAGATCTTCCGCTAGGCCTTTCTGCCTTCTAGGGCTTCTTCAGACGGATTGATGTTTATTTATATGTATATATATATGATACTTACATGTTGTTTTGTACATTGTATCATTTACATTTAAGCAATGAATAGAACAAGCATCGCCTGGGAAGGGCAGTGGTAGCCAACGTAACAATTATTACGTCATAACAATGATGTCGTCAACAATCGGTCCATGGTGTGTATAGCCTATATGAATACCAACTGAATTTGGTAGGGTTATACAGTTCCACTGCAATACGATTGTAAAAATAATACGATACAATAAATACGCATTTTATATTTCACACGTGTATATGTATATTACATTACAATTATTTTACCTGTACGATCTATGTAGTCCAGTGGTATCCCCCGGTACAGCACTTGACCGTGATGACTGGTCACCAACAAAACAGCACGGTGTCCACTGCTGTTGAGACAAAAAAGATTTTAAAAACATCCATTTTGTAAACTTCACTACACTTTTTTTTTATCACCGACATAATAAAGCACTGTATTAAAATATATCTATAAGTTTTACAAATTCTGAGAAATATAGCCTCGCTCAACTCGACGTTAAAAGTTCAGTACCAGGAGATACGAAATAAAAAAAAAAATCTGCTCCAATCCGCTTGACGATAAACACATACATGCATTAAACATGTACAGGCTAGACATTCGTTTTTATCTGGTGAACAATCCTTTGATAGTCGGCTCTTATATAAGGATGCCTAATTAACATTGTATCGTTCATAGCTTCATTTTTAACACAATACAATTAATTTTGTGGTTGATTTTTCCAGTGTTGATCTATTTCTTACTCAAACTGTTAAACTGTCATTGCGTCACTACTTTAGTAGTTGTTCCACATCTCTGTGTGAACGAATATAATCTACTATTCAATGTCATAGACGGTTTACATACTTCAAATGTCAGGCCTCGTGTGTTTGAACCTTTGTTAATAGTAAATGAGTCAGCGACCTCTGTGTCAGATTTTTCAGAAGTGATTTGATATATCTCTTAAATATCACTACGTCACCACCTTTTATACGCTAATGATAAGTTATATGGATTAGCTGTAGTTTTGCAAACGTTCCGTAAAAGATGGTGAAATCCTGGTACCTGTTTGGTGCTCGATGCTTAACATTCTCAATTGGAATTACATGTTTTTCTAAATGGAAGCACCAGACTTAACTTAGCAGTTAAGGCATTCCATTTTACTTGTATCAGTGCATACAATCTACTGTGGGTCCATTACTTTCCCTCAAAATGTAGAAATGTGGAAGTAGTTCGGTAATCTAGTATGGAACAATGACAATTATTACCATTATTGAAACAGTTTAAATTATTACCCAATAGTCTATATCAATTATAATTAGTTATTTTTGACTGTTTCTGGCCTTTTGTCCAATTTCGGCTGTAGGGGTGAAACAGTCAAAACTGTTTTCCCGGTCAGAGCGAACTGTTACCCAGCGCGAATTCGATGCGCAGAAATCCCCCTCGAGAGCCCCGTTCAAGCGTTTCGGTGACCGCGACTCAGTGTTGAAGCAATTATGTCAACACAACGAGAAACCTTTGTGCAATGTGCCGTATAGTAGTGGAAACTCGATGATTCGGAAAACATTTGTTTTTTTCACTATAGCACATGGCCGGAGCACCCTTAATAACCAATAGCAGTTGATTGGCGACATACCTCGAAGGCAACATTGCATGCAGCATTGATACTAATATTTATTTGGTAATAAAACAATTGTTTCATGGTTATTTGGGGAACAGTCAAAATTATTACCCAATAGTCTATATAAATTATTATACGATTGTTTCATGGCTATTTGGGGAACAGTCAAAACTCTCATCCCGAGGTAGGGGGGAGCCCTGGGGAACTTTTTGCCCGAGGCCGCTAGGCCAAGGGCAAACAGTTCCCCAGGTGTTCCCCCTACCGAGGGATGATAGTTTTGACTGTTCCCCAAATAGCCATGAAACAATTGTATAATAATTTATATAGACTATTGGGTAATAATGACAATTATTACCATTATTGAAACAGTTTAAAATATTACATGTTTTGTTTGACACGTGACATTAGTGCACGGAGTTGTGAACACACACAGCCTTGAGTTGTGTATGTAACGTTACCTACCTGCGCATGTTCACCTGAATGTTCTATATGAAGTCAGTACTATCGGTAAAACTGTAAGAAAACACTTCAAATGTGTGGAATGATAACATATATTTCCTTTGTTTAATATAATTATTAAGTCGAAAGCTAACAAGGCTACCATTCCACTGTAGAGAACAGGTTCATGTCGGGTGATCTGGCTTGACTCGTATACTCAGCCTGGTTAGTTTTATGATTATTTGTGGTAAAAAAATGTATGTCCCATGGAAATACGTGTCACCGTTCTCGACATTTGAAGGGGTTTTGTGCAGTTCTTCCGATAGAAAGTGTTCATAACACTGAACCAAGTCCACAATTACTGACTCTGCCACCTGTGGGCGTTATAATGTGGACTTTGAGAACAGTGTGTTACCCGTCTGAAATTTTGCCAGATCTAGGTCAATATCTAGGACATAAGCAAGTATTTACATGTCATCAATACTTATTTGATGATGTATCCTTTAATTTACTCACCTTTGTCCTTTTTCTTCTTGTCGTGTCGAATCGCCAGATGATGCCATGATCCTTCGTGACAGGTCATGTGGTCAGTACATTCGGAGCTCAAGGAAGTAAATTAGCGTTATCTCCCTTTGGCCCAAACGTTTAACGAAAAACTTTGACACCGGACGGACCACGGACGCCGCGCTTCGATTTAGGCAATGTGAGCTTATAACGTTGGACAAATTGAAACAACAATTTACATTTTCCCATGAACGATTTGGAAGATATGGCGAATTTTTTTACGGAATTAAAACTTCGCTAGGCCTACAATTATTTTGTAAGGAAAGAAGATAATGGCGTCACAAAATCAATTTAGGCTAATCTAAAAAAAGAAATGTCATAAACGTTATTCAGAAACGTATCTTTCAGAATGTAAAGTTATGTTTCGGTGTCGCTATTTAATTATCTGCAGCATCAGAAAATTTCAATGAAAAAAGGTAAACTGTGAAATGTATGAAATGTAGAATAAATCTTGTGAAATGGCGACAACTTAAATAAACACAATGCCGTAGAACAAAATAAAATGACAATACATAACGAATCTACCTGATAACTTAGTCAAATCAAGCTTCAGGTTCAGACAACGTCCACCCTAAGGTCATCTATGAACTCCAAGAATAGCTTGTAACACCATTAATCAGTCCAAACCAGTAAATACCATATACCTGGCAATCTGTTCACGTGTGCCCAATACACAAAAAAGGATCGACAAAAAAAATCGAAAATTACAGACCTATTAGTCTTATATCAGTACCATGTAAACTATTACAAAGAATCATAAGAGACAGGATCATCGAATACATGAATAATAACAACTTGTTCACAGCAAGACAGCACGTACTGATTTAGATCGGGCCGTGCTTGTTTGTTTGTTTGTTTGTTTATGTTTAACGGCCCATCGACGGCTGTGGTCATTTAGGGCCATGGTGATTTTTTTTTATTTTTTTTTATTTTTTTAACAAACATGTGAATAGCGAAGATAAAATCAGATAAAATGGTTCATTTTAAAAGCATTCGCATTGTATGTGTAGATAATTAAAAATTAAAAAGGGGGTTAAAATAATAAAAGAGATAACGAATAGATGATGGAATATGTGATATATATAACGTCAAAAAGGGTAAGGTGAGTTAAAAGACATCAGAGTCTATAGAATAGACCGATGTCTTTCAAATAGTTAAATAATGCCTTCGAGTCCACGGAACTGAAAAGAGTTTTTATATCCGGGACTCGAAAGTAGTTATCACGAATGTGTTTACAATCGGAACATTCTATTAAAAATGTTCCGCTGAAAATTGAGTGTCACATGCGTGGCATGAAGGTAGATCTTCTCGTTTTAAAAGGTACAAATGAGTAGGATATGTGTGCCCAGTACGGAGCCGAGCGAGGACAACTTCCTCTCTACGATCTTTCCGATGTTGTTGGTCTCCAGAGACCAGCGTTGCTGCCATTCATTTTCAATGGCTGTACGAATAGTAGGTTTAAAATCTGTGTATGGTAGTTTGATATTTGTTTGTGTGAGATTTAATGCAATTTTTGCTTCCCTGTCAACACATTCGTTGCCTTTAATTCCGACATGGCTCGGAATCCATAGTAAAGTTATCTTTGACTTATTTAAGATACGAGATATTCGAAGAGAAAAGGTTTTGTATGAGTGTGTTTTTAGGACCTCGTAACTGTAAACTCTGTAGGACAGATATATTGCCTTTTTAATGCGGTATTCATCGATATGGTCGAGGGCCAAACCAATGGCGAATGCTTCGACAGAAAAGATTGAGGCGCCGTCTGGTAGTCGAACTGAAGTGCAATAATTAGCAGTACAGCAGGCTGCTGCCACTTTCTCACCTTCTTTGGAACCATCGGTGTAAAGTTGTGTATGAGAAGGGTAATTCGAAATGCATTCCCGAAAGGAGGATTTGTGTTCTTCGGGCATAACACTTGATTTCCCTCGCTCATGTAATGTAAAGTTAAAATCAGGTGTTTGAATGGTCCACGGAGGAACATCAGATATGTTAAATTCAGCTATGTCCGTCAATTTTATGTTGAGTTCTTGCAGGAAATT